TAACCTAATTAGTTATTAGGTATTAATTAGTAAGTTTTTCCCCTTACACACTTGAAGATTATAACCTATTTAATAACAAATCGGTTGTAAGAAACTACGAAAAAACCACACAAACATTACTGTACAAACATTACTGTCGTCCATATACTGCACATTTTAACCAAAGCACGTTACATAAATTACATACAGTAGGCGGAAGAAACAGCAATCTGCTCTAAGACAGGGAGAACAAATTACATAAACTACGCATTAAGATAGCAGTAAGAAAAATAGTCTACAAAATACGTTAATTCTTGCTTACACAGAGCTCAGTTAGTAAATTACAAGTGCGTGCTTTAAAGAAGGCCTACCTCTGTATATTCACCCAACAGCGGTGCGGAATATTTTTGACAAAAACTGAAGAGTCATTCTGGAAAGAGATATTTTTGTACCATCGAAGTGAAAGCAAGAAACAGAGGAAAAAAAGGAGGTCAAAGGTGGTTTTCCCGCAAGGTCGATCTCATTGTGAATCGACGAGTGACAGCGAAGGTGAGACCCCACGCGGTCTGGAGCACCCTAGTCCGCTTATCGAGAAAGAGAGAGGTTCCAAGTCCAGATGCCTCCTGCGTTGCTGCTATCGCGAGCTGCCTTCTTCTCTTATCGGTGAATACCTCCACAATAGCTATGACGTTGTAATAGGTCACATTCTCATCGGTGATTCTGCTATTTCATTTTCCTCATTTAACAAAACATATTTGCATCTCTTCTGCTTACTGTCTAAAGCTATGCAACAAATATCTTTGAAAAGGTATGACTGCAACCCCAGGCTAGAGGGTAGATTGCAGCTTTATTTCTGTACATCCAACCTGTTGAATGTCATTGGCGAAGCAAAACAATCGATGACAATTGTTTGTATATTTATTTGCGCTATCTTAGGAGAGCGTGAGTCATAGACCTTTGAATACAAACAATAAAAAAATGCCGTAATTATCAAATGTTGTTTTATATTTTTGGCCTGATCAGATGTAACGCTTCAGGCAATTCAAAATAATTTGCAACTTTGTTTACGCATTAAAATTCGTGTCGATTTCAAGTGGAGATAACTATCACCATTTTATTTCAACATGCAAAAATTCTGCTATTTATCTCGAAAGCATATGAATGAAAGTTCGTTGTAACTAAAACATATTGTTAGCATACTTATTCAAATATGTAGCTCTTCATAAGGTATAATAGATGTTGGATAGCGTAGAACTCAAATATCCTGCATGTTGCAGATATATAACGTTTTTTTTTTTTTTTTTTTTCCCCGAACAACTGGCAGGCAATGTGCTAATTACCAGTATGTATATATTCACTCATATTCTTGAATCTTGTCAGCAATATTTGGATATGGCATTACTTAATAAGATGCAGTGTGCTTCATACTAGACATTTTCATTTGTATCATTCTTTACGGATGGTTTATTTCGGCTGGCCAAGCTTTTACTCCTTCAAAATGCAAGCTTGAGAATTTAGTAAAATGAAAGCTTTAGAAGCCACATGCATTTTATCTGTTGTTTAAACATGATGTTAAAAATGATTAACTGGAAAATATCTAGAAAGACAAAAAGAACTAATAACAAATAATGATCGCTCCAAACCGTTTATGCAGTTTTCAAAAGAAGCATTATTAAATAGAATTGTAGTATGATGAACAAATAAATATATAGTAAGAACAATAAATATACTTTATAGTAATTCTGGGGAGGAAAAAATCCATTTTATGTATCAGAATAATGCCTATGTTTTCATTTAAATATGTTATGTGAAATAAATTACATTATGCTGTGTGGTATGCAAAATGGATAAAATTATACACAATGTAATACATCAGTCATACTCGCAATAATTAATTTTCCTTAATCAAGGCGATCTGGCTATATAGAGTTGAACATAAATATTCAAATTGCGGAAGAAGTAGGAAGTATGGAATGGAAAGAAGGTGTTTGTCTTTCTTATAGCAACAAATGGAGATTTTGATGCTTGCAGTACTAACTGTAATTTTTGCGAACAAAGAAATACATTTGAATCAACAGTGGTGAATTTCCATTTGTAAATCACCATGACAAACTGTAAAAATTCACAACCTGGTCTTCCGCTATAAATTAAGATATATATGTATATTCATAACGCAGGACTTTATTATTTTCAGTAAGATTTTTAAAACTTACAGCACAGCTGTAGGTATTTGAAAACTTCGTTTGCATTCTTTATTTCCTCAATTATTAATCCTATCACATATATTTCTACATTTTAGAAAAATAAGATAAACACATTCATACGAATAATTCCAGTTCTGAATGTAGGTAAAAAAATTTAACTTTATACATGGCATCTATAGCAAAAATTCTAATTCGTAAAATATATTCACCATGTTTAATAAATTAAATATGAAAAAGTTCCATACCTCTACAAAATTTGCAGAGACATTCCAAAAAGAATGTGCACAGTAAGATTACTTTCCAATGTATATTACAAAGCAAGATTTGAGATTTTTTTGTCCATATTTAGTAAGAACATTATAAATCGAAAGCTACTTGTTTTGGCAATTAATGGCTCTTCGTTGGGAAAATGAGCACTCGTTGTTAAATTTTAACTTGGCTCTTCAGAATTACTAACTTCGTCTCTTTCTACAATTTTTCATTTAAAGACGTAGAACTTTTTACATTTAACTAATTAGTTTTAAATAACGAATTTCGTTTTATGAAGAACATGTAAGAAATCAGATTTTATATTTACATAATACTTCCATCTGTAAGACTGAAATATTTGTTACAAAAATCTTTTTCATATTTTGAGAAAACTTTACATCGACAATACAAATCCGTAGGTATACTTAAGGAAATAACCATCTACCGCCACCTTTTCTCGATCATCTTGTGTAAATATTTGTTATAAATTCATTTGCCTAGCCCTCAATACCAATGAAAAAGGTCTTCGTTAGCAGATAAGATGAATTAATGAAAAACGGAGCCTGCTTATTTATAGCTTGCAGACATGACCTTGCAATTTATGCTGATTCTCCGCAAAGTAGAATAATTTCATACTTTATCATTAATTCAACCAGATGTTTTCAAATTGCATAGAGTATCGTTAAGCAATTCTGCGTAATACTAAACGCATGCCAAATATTATATATTAAAACTGTTGTTACATGCGCTAAGTGCTTTATAATATACTGCAGGAATAATTATATTTGTATTCATAGCGCAGTGAAGATCGAATTCGAAATTTAAATGATAACGGATTGATATGAATTTTTTCATACGATTTATGATGCAGATTAGAATAGTTGACTAAGCCCTAAAAATGCTATAGAATTTTCATTTTCGAGCATTTGCTAAGAAGTTTTCTCCTTCTCGTACTTATGATCTGTAATATAAAATAATTATTCTTTAATGGTTATAGATCACTGGCTCTCAACTTTTTTTGTCCTCACTGGCTCTCAACTTTTTTTGTCCTATGTATCCCTTTTACCATTGCTAGACGATCATTATCCCCTTTATTTCAAAAACTCGAAAAATGCATATACGTTTATTTAAGTTGTAAGATTCCTAGGTGTTTTAATCTAAAGTCGAGGAATCTTAAGAACTGGCAAGCTAATAATCGCTTGAGTTCGTGAGCCAGAGAACAAAACGTAAGATGGGTGAAATTATCCTTTAATATTCCAATAAAGTTTTAACAGACGAGCTCCTTTCTTGGAGTTACAATAAATCCTCCACTCGGGCTTGAACTTAGGAAACTAAGAACTAAAACTTATCTAATCTTAACTAAAAAGATATAGCCGAAGCTATCAAAATTCTAACAGAGTTGACCCTTAACGCTAATTAACGGCGAAGCTATCAAGGGCCTATCTCTTAAGCTATTGTAGTAATAGCTTAAGAGAGAGAGAGAGAGTAATCTGAAAAGGCGAACGCGTGCTAGTCAGAATCACTGGCTCTCTAACGAAGTGAGTAGAACTTCACAGTTAAATACTTCCCCTCATTTGCATTCAAACGCGATTCTAAAAATACGTTCTGGCCGGAAGTTGTAAGCTTGAAATTAAGAAGAGATAGGAAAGTAACTTTAACTCAAAATTTAGCTGTTAAATAAATTAACATAATCCTTACAAAGTTTAGATTATTTTATGTGTTTTATAAATTAAACAAGTATAGGAAATGATGATAAAGTTAAAAAAATAGTTTTTTTATAAGTAGTTTTTTTATATTCATAAACTAAAACTAAACCGCTTAACAGCTAAAATAGGCTGACCTCATCCTCCCCCTGAAATTATCAAATCTCCCCAGGGGAAAATTCCTTCCTGTTTTAGAATCCCCTGTATAGATTACAATAGTCGGCAATCGATGTAATTTTAACGATCCGCAAAGAAAGTTAGATATTAGTTAAATTTGCTGAGCTCACCTAATAAAACTCTTAAGTAAATAAATAAATAAATAAAGCTGGTAAACAGAACAAGAACATAAAACTAAGAAATTCCATCCCAAACAATAATTAACATAAATGACATTTTTTTTTTTTTTTTTTTTTTTTGTCTTGGGCATTAAAAGGAAGTAATATCTCGGAATAGATCGTGTTTTCAACTAATTTAAAATAAATCTAAGAATTATCATTTCAAATTTATTAACTATTTTTTAAAATACGTATCCATAAGTTAAAAGAAGATCGAATCAAAGTAGCTCCAGATATTTGTATAATTTTATAAAAATATTTTTAAACAAGTACAGCAAACTCTCTAGTGGCGATCTTCTTTGAAACCATTAGTTTTCAGATTATAAATACAGATCATACTGAATTTTAATTCTCCAAGAAAATCGAAATCTTTCAGAACATGCGTGTTCATCTTAGAAAAGGATTACTATATTATTATTATTACTTAGTTGTTTGTAACTAGGAGCATACAATTTGTGCAAGAAATTTTGATCAGAATATTAAAATTTTATGTAATTTATTTGACGCGAAGGAAGGAAAACTATAATTACCATTTGCGCTGCTTGACTGTCCTTTCGCGTTGATCACTTTTCCGACGATCTGTACGTGCTTACTGCTACACTGGTTGTAGAGTTTGTACGTCCTTTGGATTCGAGAGTCTGCCAGATACGTCGGGGCTTCCTTCTCTAAATCGACAGGCAGGCGATTACATGAAACCTGTCAGAATAAAGAAAGATAATTACGAAACGGATTTAGAATAGCATGCCAAAACGGAACGAAGTTAAAAGTCAAAACGTTAGTTGCAAGGTCATAATAGACACAGCAAATGAACTATGTATGATCATTCTTTTGTGCATATGAATGTAGATTAACGACATATTTTCTTACACAATTATTAAAAAAATTCAAACAATTATTGCAGTATGACATTCTTGTACGAGAAATTCCCGTCTAACTTTCGACAACAATTCTTACCTCACACTTCTGTCTTCCTCATCGAAACGATATAGCCTTTTCGAAAATTTTTCTTTTGTAAGCTCGAACAAATAAAAACTGCAGGGTTTGTGTTTCCTTCCTCTGAGAAAGGATAGATCCAAGATTCATCTTTGATGGACCCAATATTCGTTGTTATGATTTTGTCCAGTTGGTCATTTTCAGACAATGACACAAACATGCAAGAGATATTTGTAAATATAGTTCATTGGGGTGGTTTGTCAATACGCAAGATATTCGTCCAGCATAAAATTTGAAATTTCATACACTCTGCGGTGATATGTTCCACACGTTTATGTGAAATACCTGGTTCAGCAATATTCATATACTTTCATATACTTTCATTTAGTGATTGGGTTCATATACTTTCATTTAGTGATTGGGTAACGGCACATATTTTGTGATCATCTGAGCTGAAATTATTCTGTCACTATATACTTCAGGCAGAGAAGATGCATTTCAGTGGAGATATACCATTTTGCTAACAAAAAACTAAACATACCGTGCTCCTCCAATTGAGACGTTATTTCCAAAGCGACGTGACAAAATCCCCAAAGATAATGAATGTCCTATCTACAGTTGCCATAAGGCACCTTTCTAAGAAAGATGTGCTAAATATAAAAAGCAGGAGATTTATTTATTTATTTATTAAATTTTAAGAAGTCAGGAAAATTTTCTCAGTGACAAAAGTAAATAAACATTAAAAATACATTGATTTTTTTTAAAAATTAAGGACTACTGATACATTACATTTACAATGTATACGTTACATTTCCTTAAAAAACACAGGGAAAATAACTGAGCAATTCTCTAAAGTATATTAGAAAAACGAATGTGCATTTTACTTTTCTCACAAAAATAACTAAGACCGAATCTCACATATTGTTAAATCACTTTTCGCAGCACCTTCAACTTCCATCATTTAGCGACGTGAGAAACGCAAAGAAAAGCTTTGAGCTGGCTTTCGTTTTATGAGCAATCAATTCCAGATTATCGCAGTGGAACTCGATGATCATTGGTAATCTAAAACATGGCATTTTCAGACACATACGCTCATATACATGCAGCGGTTGTGCGCCATCATATTTCATCGATGACACAGCCTTCGCTTTCTTTGATAACTAATTTATAGAAAAAAAATATCAAACGATTTCAGACGTCACAAATTAGATTTTTGGAAGCAATCAACATATCACGCTAAGCTATATAAAATTCGTGTGACATTTTAAGAATAAGAGACTATCGAAAGAAATATGCTATAAAGAGGGTTGGCAGTTGCAAATCGGAAGTTCCCTACCTTAATCTGGGCAGTTAGCTTCTCTGCTAAGAGAGCTGTATGCAGTGTTATCAGTCACTTCATCACAATATCTCCATCAACAAAATCTTCCAGATAAGTACATCTTAATTTTTGACGCAGAATACCATAATTGAAGAGGTATTTATAACAATATGCTACGGCAATTTTCATTGCGCGTCCATTTACATCACGATCTATGCAAAATTACTTGAATGCGTCTAAATCTTACTTGAGGATACCATAACGATAAAGATATTGATACCTTTTCTCTAGAATATCACATAGAGAACTAAGACATAATCACGATGACTCATTTGCGTCCCTCCATCCAAAAACTCGTTTTTTTTATTACGAATGAGAAATATAACCAACTATGTAAAAAATTATTTAACTGTTAAAACATTCTGCTGCAACAGATTCTTTATACTACCTATCTCAGTTTAGCAAAGTTGTGTTATGCCAAGGAAAATGTTCTGAATGATATTCTAGTTCTCTTGACTGAGATTTAAGTAATATAAATTTCCTGTTTCCATTTGTGTTATCGCATCTCTCTTGCTTTTTAAAGTTCTATTTACCACAATAAGTAACCTATAACTGCAATATGACGTAACAATAGTGATAGTGCACGCATTTAGAAACTGCTAACGTGCTATTAGCGTGCAATTCTTATTTTCTTATTCTTTTTATGCTGTTATGAACAGTATTTCTAAATTTCTCACTGCTGTTTCGTATTAAATTAAAATATCAGAATTCCTTACTTAAATAGATATGAGAAAAAAAAAAGAGAATGGTCTAGTCTGCAATATACTTTACTTTGCTTTATTTTGGGGTATAGTATATAATGCGGCATAGGCAAAATATTTTATGTGACGTTGGCAATGGCTTACTTGAATAATTTATGAATTAAACGTAATCATAAATATGTTACACGATTATACGGTTTCATATAACTTTAGCTATTCCCGACTTAACTTATAACACTAAAATATTATCACGCTAATATGCAAAGTTTTAAAATATTAATTGCATGGTTAAAATCTCTCATTATACGAAATGTTATGCAGCACTTAAGTCTATGCTGAAATGCATGTGTAGTTACTTATATACAGTAAAATATGAAGTGTAAACATAGCGAATAAAATTGTTCGATCGACGGTAATTAAAACTGAAGATTCCTAACTTTATTTTGACGATATTAACAACATCTACCGAAATTCTGATCATCGAGTACCAGTTTTAATATTTTTACATTTTTTTTATATAGCATCTGCAAGAATTTTTTTTCCTGTTTAAAACTGAATTTTTAGAAAAGGAATGAAAAAGAAAAGAATAATTTCCTGTATAAAATTTACATTATTTGATAAAAGATATGTTTTTCGTTTAAACAAAGTTAGTAAATTAGTTTAGAATGCTTTTACATTGCATAAGAGATACGATCACTGCGATTGCATTAGATTCTTACTACTGTTTCTGAGCAAGCAGCTTAATAATTGAAATGAAAGTGAAAAAATATTTTTTATGCTCCCATTTGCTTTTGCTGATGTTATTATTCAAGACCGGAAAGAAAGACTGGATCGTCCATAAATGCAGAGTGGATGTCTTTTTTTTTCTTTTTTTTTTTTCAAATGTTTAATTTTCAATAGCAGCTGTGCTCAGGTAGGTCACAAGTTAAAGGAAATTCTTCTTTTCAGTATTTCAGTAATTAAACAACAACTTAATATTATTTAGTTATTCGCGAATATTAGGTATCTAGTGACACAATTTCTTCACACAGTATTTTGGATCAAATATTGAAATTTTCATTTGTGTAAAATTTGTTATATATGTTATTTGCAAGAAATAAGTTTTATATGAGTTAATACAGTTTTTTCCCAATTTTATTTATTTTTAAATTCATATAGAGAAATGACGACTACTTAAATCCATTATTATTAGGGAATATGAATGTTTACGCAGGCAAGAAATAACTATTTAATTCTTAAAATTTATTCTTTTAACAATCTTTCCATGAAATTGTCTCGAAGTTCTATACACTGTTCAACAAGTAATCAAAATGAAATATACCAAGAGATATATTTCTGTGCAAAAAAAATTTCATAAGCCATGCAGATAGCCCAGGTCGGTACAGTTTGTGGAAAATACAAAATTAATATCGAAATCCATTCGCAGTTCGTAATTCAATAATTTCAATGGAAAACTTTCATTTTTAGCAGAAGAAATTTTTGGAGAATCACCACAAATGTCGAAACTACCAAACCGTGACATATGATGCACAGGCGTCATCATTAAAAATAAATATATTTAAGGAACCGAGTCTTACTTTTGTTTTCTTTTACACTTTATGAAAACAAAAAATGAACTCGTCGCATAGAGAGAATTATAAACTCTCTTTCTATTATAAAACTTTTCAACGGTTTATTTAGTTCTTCAAAGGGTGACGTCCGTTATTCATTCTCTTAACTATGCTCTTTCTCTGTAGGAAAAGGTAAAGCAAAGGAAAAAAAATCATTCACGGAAATAAATCGGTTCTCAGATGCTACTTAAACACGTTTTGAAAATGAGTCCGAAGTACGAAAAACGAGTGCCTCTCTTGATACATAGTCATACTTGTTACAGCACCTTGTTTCACCTGCAATTAACAGTGTCTGAGCTACTATCACCTACGAAAGGTATTAAATTAAATATAAAACAGCTAAAAGCAATAATAAAGAATACAAGATCCATTTTAGCCATCGGTTGTCCGACCCGCCCAAAAGCTTGTCGTCGATTGATTACAGAGTTTCACGATATTGGCAGCGTAGTCCTCATTCGGCATGATGAATGGTTTGCGGCGGTCCGGAGGCCCAAGGGGACCTACGTACACGCATATGACATGCAGTCCCGCGACATGCCACTGATAAGCTCGAAAATGAATGATTCTGACACGATGGCTCGGATCTGTGTGGTGGGTTTCGATACCGGCGTGGGAGAGATTATTCAGGTAGCCAGCAACACCCAGTTATGTGCTCAGCAAACAAGCGGAATTAGATTATTAAGATATCCGTGTACGAAAAAGATAATGCAGCACTCAGGTCTTTGATACTGCTTAATTTTCTTGCTAGGTAATCGTACCTTTGATCGTGAATACAGCAGGGCTTAAAAATGTTTGATGAGAACAACGATAACTTTTGGAGAAAAGTGCATCAAAGATAAAATAGCTGGGCATTTTATATATTATTTTTATTGCTACGTTTGATCTATTTCGCCGTGGTAATTCGCTATCTATACTTTTAGATTTACTTCCTTACTATGTGAATTGATTACGAGTGCGATCATAGGTAGAACTCGTCTCCCGGTGTGGTCTCCCTAAAAATTGGATGGGGGAGGAAGTTTAACAATTAGATAGGTTCAGCAATACCTCAATTACCTGTGGTACTACAGAGGTGCT